CTCCCGCAGGACCACCGACAAACCACATGTGCCCAGAAGGGCGTGGACCTATTTAGCATGAGAGGCGAGGACAGGCAGGAGCAGGGTTGAATATGCTTAGAAAAGTTGTGTAATGTACTGCATATGGAACACCTTTGTGAATAAAGGTTTGGGTCAGACTAAAGCTCAGTGCACAAGTCTTGGAGAGCTATCTCACTTGTGTCGAGTGCTGGCAATACATACCTACTTCATAACTACCCCAAGTCTATTTATTTATTCTGTGTACCACTTCAAGGGGAGGTTTGGATTGGATATTAGGAAAAATTTTCTCACTGAAAGGATTGTCAAACTCTGCAACAGGCTCCCCAGGGAAGTCAGTGGTGGAGTTGCTGTCTCTGGAGGTATTTCCAAGACCCACAGATGTGGTGATTTGGGACATGTTTTAGTGGTGTGGCAGTATTAGGTTTATGGCTGGACTCAGTCTTAAAGATCTTTTCCACTCGAAATGATTCTATCTATCTAATGGGAGAAAAAGTTAATGTTATTAACTAACAGTAGGTGAGCAATGTTTTTTGTAGAACACAGGATGGTAATTCCTCAAAGCACACCTTTTAGGGACTTATGGTATGAAGAGAACTTTGTTTTCTATAGTGATGGCAGCATAAAGATTGGAGGTCATGTTGTTTGTACATGCAAGTAGTACCATAATCATGGCATGTGGCTCTACTTGAATAATTTAATTGGAGTCCATTTCTCCATCAGGCACTTGGAGCATGGGAGAAAGGTGTGCCCTTATTTTTTTTCTCTCAAACAAAAGGCCATCATACCATAGTGCAAACAGCTTCCTAAATATTTCACATGAAAATGTAGTTGTCAGTGAGGTTATGTTCATCCCCGTGAAAAGCCCAACAATTCCATGTGAACACAATCATGTTCAGGACTATAGGGAGTACAGTTTAAACAGTCGGTGATATTTGAGAAAGCCCCTGGCAAACACTGTCTAGGGAAATTGCTAAACCGGAACACAGAGGGGTCTGATCCCTGCCATCCCTTTTTCTATGAGAGCTTTGTAGGTCTGAAACCCTTCCAGCTAGCACAAGACTCTTTCCTAAAACTTGTTAATCTGGACCCTTCCAGTGCCTTTATCATGGAAACTGGCGAGGAGCAGACGGAGGAGCCCAAGCGGGCTGCGGTCAGAAGCCCCCAGTGCGCAGCGGGACTTACCGGGCCGGGCGCTGTGGGGCTGAAGAGCCGTGGGGCGCATGGCAGGAGGCAGCTGGAGCAGCCAGAGCCCCGACCCAGAGGATGCCCTTGCCCACAGCCAGAGCAGCACGGAGCGCTAGGGAGAGGAGCGGACTCCCAAAGAGCCCAGACCTGCCCGCACTCCCAGAGCCCAGCCCAATCGTCTGGGACAGAATCCCGCCTCTCTGGCCCAGCTGCCAGTTCCAGGATACAGCCCAAGCTACCTGGAAAGCTTCACCTCTTTTAAAGAGCTCATCTCGGTGAGCAGCAGGTCCAGTAACACTTCTAATCTAACCTAATCTAAACTAACGTAATCTAATTTAATCCCACAGTTTGGACAGGAGCACTCTTTGCTGGGATAAGAACTGGCTGGATGGCTGGGCTCAGAGGGTGGTGTCCCTCAGGGCTCTCTGCTGGGGCCTGTTCCGTTCAATATTTTTATTGATGACTTGGATGAGGGGATTGAGTCTTCCATTGGTAAATTTGCAGATGACACTAAACTGGGAGCATGTGTCAATCTGTTGGAAGGCAGAAAGGCTCTGCAGAGATATCTGGAATGGTTGGATGGATGGGCAGAGTCCAACAGGATGCAGTTTAATAAATCCAAGTGCTGAATCCTGCAGTTTGGCCACAATAACCCCCTGCAACATTATAGTCTGGGGATGGTGTGGCTGGACAGTGCCCAGGCAAAAAGGGACCTGGGGGTGCTGGTTGACAGCCGGCTGAACATGAGCCAGCAGTGTGCCCTGGTGGCCAAGGCCAACAGCATCCTGGCCTGTATCAGTGTGGCCAGCAAGACCAGGGAGGTCATCCTTCCCCTGTACTCAGCATTGGTGAGGCTGCACTTTGAGTACTGTGTCCAGTTCCCAATGCAATGTAAAAATTGGATTAAGATCAGTAAGAAGACTTGCAGAACTGGAAAAAAGTATTATCTTTCGTCCAAATTAAGTCCATTTTTGTATCCATATGGTAATCATTATGTATAATCTCAATATTTTGCTTACTCTTGTATGATAAAGCTGTTTCACTTCAGCTGTTTCTTCAGCATGCTTACGTCTATTGATAGACCATTCATATGCCAATGGAGCCAAAAAATCTATTTTACAATGCTCCAGAAAGGTTACCTATCCCATGTGGTTCAGCAATCATTCCAATGATAAATCTAACACAGATCTTCTTCCACTGACACTTTTGGGTGTTGTTTTTGCCCTGTGAAATATATTTCTACAACAGACTTACCTGTGTTATGGGAAGAGACTTTACAATCATCCTACACTTGATACTCTCCAACAAATCTATGTCTCAGACATATTTTAGCTGAGCATTGTGGCCTCATTTCTCAGTGATAGGACAAAAGGAAACAAGTTGCCCTATGAGGCTGCAGATTGGACGTTTAGATTGAATAATAGGAAAAATTTCTTCATTTAAAGGGTTGACAAGCACTGAAAGGGACTGTGCAGGGAAGTGTTTGAGTCATCATCTGTGGAAGTATTTAAAAGACCTGGACGTGTGATTAGGGACATGATTTAGTAGTGGGCTTGAAAGTGTTAGATTAACAGTGGGAATCAATGATCTTAAGGTTCTTCTCTAACCTAAATGATTCTATGATTCTGAATGTCTAAATAGCTTCATTATCTTAAGAAATATAGGCAGTGTTGAGGGATTAAATTTAGAATTGTATATTACCTGTCAGCTTGATCTGGCTTTTAAACTTGTCAAAGAGGTAGGAGTTTGTTGGAGTGATGTTATAAAAATAGTATTACTGAAACTCTTTTCTAAAAAGGCTAATTGACTAAGTTATAACTGCCATTTTTGTAATGACTAAACTATAATTGCCATTTTTGAAATTATGTTGTTACTCTTTATGCATGTCAGGTGATGGATAGAATCCATCAATTTTTTAGCAGAAACCAGTTTGGTGCAGGTAACGCTATTTATCTTGATAATCCCAGCAACTCAAAAATACTTTTTATCACACACAAAACCTAAGCAAGTGTCAATATAACTTTTTTTCCCAGAAACTACAATGAAACTTAGATCATGAAACACAAAGTTCATCTTCACACACACAGAGGAGCACACAGGGACAGTGATAGTCAGGAAACCCTTACAACTGAAGAAGAGAAACTGGGGCGCTTTAATCTGGCTTCTTTCAGGGCTGTCACAGGAGGACAATCAGCCTCACTGTCTGTGTGGTGAAAGCCATTGAGGTCAGTCAAGTGGATGGGCTCTCTGTGTCAGCTTACAGACCAAGGAGGGTTACTGCCTATGGAATACATCTTGGGATTCTGGAAGGTATTGTATAAGATGCTTTGAATGGGAAGCAAAAACAGGAAAAGGAGAAAATTAAGGTGTTTTGAGGGTGAACAACTCTAAGGAGATGGAGAGATGATGGTATTTAGGGGATTGGTTGCATATGAACAGGTTGATGGTCAGTCTGCTTATCTGGTCATGCCCTTCAATTGGTCACTGCATTCTATCCTATCTTATCAAAAATCCATTTCTATTTCCTAGGTGAAACTCTCTCTACTCTATACAGAAATGTTCTGAGACAGTCAGTATGGGATGATCATACTGACTGTATCAAGTTGTGTAATCATCGTGTTGTTTCTTAGTACCTTCGTGCAGTTCACTTGATAAGTGGGTTTTATGTCCTTATTAAAACTTCCGTGAATTATTTTTCTCACATCTTGGGTTGTAGATCCAGGATTATTTGTGACTACATTATTTGGCATTTCTACTGCTTTTACACTGAAGGAAATGTTAGTATTAAGATGTCAGCTAAAATTGCACATTATAGAGTTATCCTTTGAAAATATGTGGGTAGGAATTAAGCACTGGTTATTAGGCAGGTGATATAGGTGAGTTTTGCACCTTTTTATGTTATCTTCCTTTGAGGTCAGTTTTACCCATTTCAGTTTTTATTGTTTCTACCATGAGTATTCACACGCACATACTTAGCCCACATAAGGTTTCTCCCCATTCTTAGCTACTCACACCTTAGCAGCACTAAAGTGATCCTTCTGCTTCAGACTTTCTTTATTTTTTCAGTCATGAGTACAGCTACTCTGCCTTCCAGGATCCCTTTCCTGCATGCACACATGTGCTTTCTGAAAGCACTGCAGTATTCAATGATGAGTCTGAAAAGCCTCTTCCCTTGTTGATAACACTTGGAGGATCATGCTTTAAAATAAACTATAAATACCTCCTAGAGCCAGTAGGTTTTTGTGGTTATCACTTAGTTTTCCTGAAACTTTTCTGAAACTGATGAAATAATTTTCTAAGCCTGGTCAGAACTTTGCTTCTATGATGTTGAATTGTCGTGATCCAGGTGAATAATAATAATAATAATAATAATAATAATAATAATAATAGTAATGAGATGTCATGTGTCATTTATGTAAAATGTAAATTATAAATCATTGTTATGATTATGTCTCTATATATAACTTAAGAAAATATGTGCCTTTATGCTCTATGGATTAAAATACTGGCTTATAAAGCCAATTGGAATTCTTTCATTGACTACAGTGGGACTAGAACTAGAATACAAAAAGTTTTACAGCTGTCAGAATGAGCCTCAGAAAATCTACCAGTTTTGTTGCTGCTTTTAATGATTTGTGTTTTATAAATGACATGAATTATCAGCAGCACTCTATTGTCCTTTTAAACTTTGATTTGGGAGCAGAAATACATACTTCTCAGAAGTCTTGAATGCAAAGTCTTTTCTAAGCGTAATAAATAAATGGTTTTCTAAATCACTTACCAAAGCAATGTGATTCCACCAAAGTGATACAATTTATTGCCAAACTTCTCATTCTGATATACTATTAAAACATTTCTATAAAGACATTAGCAGAACAACTTCACTTGTTTAAAAATATATTAAGTAAGTTGACACCTTTTGGAAAGTACACACAAGTATCTCCAAACAACAGCACTCTAAAGAGTGACAATTTAAGGCACGTGATTGTTTTGCAACCTTTGTTACATAAATCTCTGACTAGACGATGTATTTGTAAAACATAATTTCATATATTTCAATAAGTAGGTTCACAGCTCAGAGAGACAGAATTCATCTCAATGCAAGCAACACTTCTGGGTTTTTTTAACATTGCTAGACCATAGTGCAGCATAATAAACATTGTTAAAAATAACTTTATTCATGGAACAAAATATGTTGAAGGAACATAAAATAATTCTCCATTTAATGTTTTTGCAAGAAGGTAGGCCATAGTTACTTATTAAATAAGTAGCATCTGTGGAATGCCAAGCTTTCCTTTCTCTGACAGAGCATGTCACAAAAAAAAATGTAGAGACAGAGTTTTCAGGGAAGTAAGAACTGAAGTGGCCTCATCAGAGGTCAATGAGTTGTCAACTGATCATTCCAATCTAATAAACCAGGTCAAAAATAGCTGATACTTACAACCATATCCTCAGCAGCTCTGAATTTATATTGCTGTGATAGAAATTATTGGTGTTTGACTGATTAAAGCATGCTGAAGAAGTAGCCAAACACTTTCACCCACTGGTACACATACCACAGGAAATGTGAGTGTACAATGAAAGAGTATGCAAAAAAAAGAAAAAAGTATGACAAATTATCAACTGTTATAAGTTGGGTTTTTTGTATCTACCCTGGTAGAGAGTGGGAGTGTCTATTTATCAGTTGCCCTTGATAAAAAAAGGAATCATATTCAACTATTACAAGTATTATGAGCTACTATGGGTACATTCTGAAACATGGAAACTGGGGACATGAAAGATTTTTCATCACATTTCAAACTGAGAAGTTACAACAAACAAAACCTTGCTGTGGAATCAATTCGACTAGAACCTCTTCCAGGGGCAGAAGAGCTTCAAGAATTATGCAAGATATTCCAAGGAAAGGTCTCTTCACTATCAGAATGGCCTGTTTTATCCTTCATTTGCTCAACTGTAGTGGTGCAACATATAGAAAATGCCTAAGGCCCTTGAAAGAGAAAGGTAAGCCCTTTGTATATAGTGTCTTTCAATTTCTGTTGTTTGAAATGGTGTGATATTTCTCTGTTTTATAATACTACAGCCCACAGCCCTCTCAAAAACATACAGGGTCCTGCTGACTTTTCACAGAGACTGCTGTGTTTGTAAATATGGTAATGTCTATGGATCCTTTTTTATTTAGACTAAAAGCTTACAAGAACAATAAAAACATATGTGATTTTCAAAATTGCATACTCTTGTTTGTGCAACATATATGTGGTGAAAACTCCCATCTCCTGATGACAATTTACAAATGTTTCTTTGAGATTCCTACCTTTGAAGTGTACAAAACCAGATTGGTAATGGTCTAACAAGCATGCAGAAAAACAGTCCACAGTGTAGTTCTCTTTCTGACTGCAGCACAGCAATGACCTACCTCTGTATGATATCAATAAGAAAGAAAAGTTTTATTTCAAAGTCAACACCTGATGAGCATCTTGCAAATTTTGATGTTGGAACTTCAGCATTATGCTATGAGAGAGCAGGGCAGATTTTTGGCACATTGCACTTTATCTGTACTAACATTTGGGATCAGTCATGGTCCTGTTACGTATCTATGCCAATTACTAATATACTTGTTCTAATTATAATATCTAGAACGGCATTAATATGCTCTACTTCATCAAAATAGTATGTTCACATGTACTCAGTTTCACAAAAATGGTATTTATATTACTGAATTTTAACAAGACTAGCTTTGGGTGATGAAGCTTTCCAGTTAGGGACACTGATTTGAATCATTGCCCACAATGACAGACAAACAGGCAGCTGCTTGTGGGTTTATACCAAAAGAACCACTTCTCTCTGAGTCTAGTCTCTAGAGGTGGACATTTTGTATCTGTCTAGGTTTGTATATGGTATTTGCCATCACATGTCTGCAATTTGCACCAGCCTAACATACAGATTTTGGATACAGGACAAAGATAGAAAAAAATTGTGGACATCCGCTCTTCTTGGGTGTCAGGGTAAATCTCAGTTTTGATATCTGTCACAGAATCATCTCAAACCCATTCAAAATCTGGGTAGGTAGAGTGAAACAATCATTAATTTCTATAGATAAAGTAAAATTTACCACGTAAAGCCACTGTCCAGGATCCAGTCTTAAACAATTCAGATACCTCCCTGAAGGTGACAGCTCATTTACAAATGGTTTACATTGATTTTAAATAGAAAGTAGGAACACATTAGGACCGCAGAAGTGGCTAATCACTCTCCTATTAAAGTCATAGAACCTTTACAATTTATACCACTGAAGATTTCAAGCTGAAATTTCAAGAATGGAATCATCCAAGGCAAAATAGCCAGAGGACTATAAACAGGCATGTAGTATTATACATCTATGAGAGGTCTCAGAGTTTGAGCTTTTATTTAGTCTTCATCTGAATTGGCTTTCACTGATGTCTCTATCTGTCTTCAAGGTGATGTAGATCTAATTCATATACAGTAAGTGTGTAGTGCAATCATAACTATCATTTGACAGAAAATCATGTACAAAAATAAAGGACATTCCTAATACAAGTAGGTATATACACGCACAGTAGCCAAACTGCCTCTGTACAATACTTTGAACCGTCAGCATCCTGAGTCTTTGTGGCACTTAAACCATGTGGCAAAATGCAGAACACCATCTGAGAGATCACTATCCTGATCAGGTATTGAAAATGACACATAATTTAACATGATAATCTAACAGCATTTGGAAGTTGTCTTCCAAAGCAGCAGTAAAAATGAAAAATATTTACACTTCTGTCTGAGTGAGACTATTTAAAGTAGGGCAGCTTGATTAAGAAAATGAAATTAATTGCTTCTGACCGTGCAAATTAAAATTCTGAGCTAATCCTGGATGTTCTTTCATTCCAGTGCAACCGAGTTGAGGGAGTGAAGGTGAAGGAAGGAAACGGCCCTCTTGGAGCACTTGATTAAACTTCAAGGTTCCAGGACTTTCCTCTCCCTGGAAAGTTTTACACGAGAGTCAATATTCCACAATTACTCAGTGACACAAGTATTCAAGGAAAATATTTTTTCTGTAGCTTGCACTTATAAAAGGCACTGATCCATTTCAATCAGAGTAGACTTAGCAGGGAAGAGGCTAACCATTGTCTTCTTCTACTTAAATTTCATAGAGCATAAATGCTTAATTCCATTACTGAAGCAGCAAATGCAGCCTTTTCCTTTAAATGTATTTATGGCGTAATGGCATAATAAACTATCTCCATCTCAAAACCATCAAGGATTTACCATTTGAAAAGTTTTAGCCTTCCTCCAAAAATAATAATTTGTAACAGTCTATGTGAAAAAAATAATGAGTCATAATTCCCTCTCACTATGCACCCTTTCATTATGAATAGGAACTTAAAAATGTAAGTGCATCAGAAAAGCTCAAGTGTTTCTGACATCACAGGACCCCACTCCTTTTCCATCTGAAGCCATATTAGAGCAGATCCTATGAACAAAAAGGTTGATTTCTATTTTTACAAAAGCCTTTTGTTCATCTTCTTTCAATTAAGTCCTTGCTCACAACTGTGTTTCCTCCTGTTCCAAGGAATGTGGCGGGACATGGCAAGATGCTGGAAGAGATGCCAGCTTCTGAAGCTTAGGGTGATGCAGAGGTTTTGGCCTGTGGAAAGAACGTCGGCTTTGTACACGTCTGGCTGCAGCAGACCTGTAATTCCCTTCTATATCAAGCAACATTTTCTTCTCTTGGGGGTCCTTCATGTAGGAGTCTTCCAGCCCTTCAAACATAAGCAAAGTATTCTCTTCTTGTGAATTCTCTGACTTGAAGCTAACTTCAGAACAATAACCTGAGTTTACTGTCTCTTTGTTATTGATATCTGTACCCGATTCCCAGAAGAGATCAGGTACATTTGGGTCACATGAAGCAATGTACTCAGAAACAGCAGAAAGAGATATATTCCCTCTGTTTTCCAATGAAGAATAGTTTTGCGTCCAAGGCATTTGAAGGCAAGAGGGGAAGAAGTGGAGGGGATTCACTGAAACACTTCCATTTTGGTTTAGTTGATCATCTGAAGAGGAGTATTCTGTCATTTCAACATCGTGGTCCATATCACCTAGAGAGCACAATTAAATAGAAACACTTGTTTTCTATTTGTACACAGTTTATCTGTTAGTATGCTGGCTATTGGGCTTTGCTTTTGGCTATTTTTATGTAAGTCTTACCGAAGTGAGTGGTTAAAGATTTTTTTTCTCCTGAAGAACTCTACTCTGTACCCAATTCTATCTTGGACAACCTGAAGTGAATTAATTAAACTTCTTATCCTTGCTGAATGTCAGGCAAAACTTAACTCAGTGTTTAGGCGAACAACTGCCTGTTTCAGATAGTTAGGAGATGGAGCCATCGTCTGGTCACTAAGGTGTATCTTGAAACAGTCCTGATTCTCAGCAAGGAAATATTTCAGAGATTTTTGAAACAAATTGTACTTTTTCAATCAAGTAGCAGAGTGTTCGATTCCAGGGAATCAATCTTTTATTGATCAGAACCTATGATCAGTTCTCTATACACATTAGGTATGTAGAGAAACTTAACATTTCCACTCTTGGCTTCCATTTTCCATTGTTTTTTAAAACCTTTTAATTGAAATTTTAGTATCATTCTCCTATTGGGAGAATTTTGTTAAGGAGATCATTCAGAGGACTGTTTCAGATAGTAATAAAGGTGTATGCTTATTAGCTTGGGAAATACAACCTTGCAAAACACTTATTAAGAAACACAGTAGTCACAAATCCAGTGATTTTGACATATCAAAGATGAACTTACACATACCACTTCCTAATAATAAACTGAATTATAAATAAAGTAATTAAATGGAGGAAAAGAGCAAAGGCTTGCAAGAAAATGTTCTGCAGGTCATATGTCAATATTCTGTAACAATGTTCACAGTGGGGAAGAAAAAGTGAAGTGAATTTCAATGTGGATAAGTGTCAAGGTGAAATTTTCCTTTTGGAATGCTGCTAATTGTTCACACTTTTAATCAGGATATTGGACTGTAATTCACAATCATTTAACTAATCCAGTGTTTATTTTAAAACATCATTTAAAAATAAACAAAGATGCATTATTAAGAAACTCAATACTGAAACCAGACACAGACCTACAGTCCACTCCAGTAAAGAAAGTGATATGCTTCCTCAATTACCCTTGAACTAGCACATCTTCTGAATGGACAGAAGCCAGAACAGAAGAAAAATGGAACTACCTTTTCTACTTCTTCTTAAGAGGCTGTGAAATTCTTCTTATGTCAAAATTAGCAGTATTCATTCTTAGCCTGAGGTGTTTGTCTGAACAAAGTTTCATCAACTGGCTACAGAATACTTTCAGCTTACTTTTTTTGTTGATGCACAGGGGACACTCTGTGACAGGTATTTGTGACCATGGATTCCACAAAAGTATATTCATGATGCCACTGGCTTGTGCATTGCATTGCACAATCCCTGAAGTGCCCTGTGTTCTATTCAATTACATCTGAACTGTGGACCTGACCCAGCTCATTTGAAGCACTACCTGACTTGATTATAAAAATGAAAGCTGATTTTATGGTGTGGAAAATTTCCACTCAGCAGAAGTTAAAGGGCATCTGGGATATTAATTTAAACCCAGAGTCAATTTAATTTTAAGCCTCCAACACATTAGAAGCAACAAGTTATTTGCTGCATCAGAAAGCTAAGTTTTTTTCTCGTTTCAAAAAAAGGTATGGATTAAGGTAAAGTCAGAGTTTAAGGATAAAGCTCTAAATAGAATTCTGCTTCTCCACAACTCTGTTGTGTAATTATCCCCACAAGGAGACTCTGATGCATTTTAGTAAATATAATTAATTTGAAACCCCTTTCTTATGTAATTTAATGGTGCATCAGTAGCGTCACTGAATAGTTGCATTTTACCAGTGGGGCATTTTTTCTTCCTGGACACTGGATAAATAATCTGGAAAAATGTTCACAGCTAACTCAAGGCTTCTTAGCAACAGAGTCAAAAAATTTTATTCCTTTTAGGGAATTCTGTTACCAATTTTATCATCTAGGACTGACTAACTAGGAAACCTGAAGCCTCTTGAACTTGTATGCCCAATATTCTAGTACTTGGAATACTATTTTCTTGGCATTTAAAATATTCAAGTGAAAATAAAGAGAATGACCCCTATCTCCTGTAAAAGTAGGAAGGCATTGGACTCCAAATAGCTGAACAGCTCTTCTGCAGAAGGAAAATAGAAAGATGTTTTGTTAATTAAGTCAAAGGGAAATAAAAGATGTTTAGTTGTACAAAGAAATCAGGAAAGAAAGACACTTTCTGAAATAAGAAAAAACAGAAGAATAAGTTTACTTCTCAGGATTGATAAGAAGTCTGGTTAAAAAATAAAGGTGATAATATCTTTTAAAATATTACATATGTGTTGATTCTGGGAGAAAAGATCTGGGTCGGTCCTCTGGGCCATCTGCTAGCAGGAAGGAATCTGTTGACTTATTGCTGAGCCGAATTGGAGCGAGTCGTCTGAAGTTGTCTGGAGAATATGGGAGCTGCACTCGGGCCCTTTGTGATGGTACCACAGTGTCTTCACCAGATAACCATGGTGAGAACTTCATGTAGATGCTTTGGTCATCATCAGCTGAAAATACTGGGTTATCAATTCCTAAAAAAAAAATTCACGAGTGACAAAAAAAAGTAATCAAAATAATTTCTTGATAACACAGCAAGATGCTTTATAAAAGGAAAAAGGCTGTTAGAAAAAATGGGCTGATACACTGGTATGTGTGTGATTAAATCAATACACAGACCATTACACACGTATACACCTTGGTCATAGCTAGACATATACTGGATTTCAGTAAAGAGAAAAATTGGTTGTCTGCCACATCAAATTTGTAATTATGTTAGGGCTATCTTGAGACAAAATATAAAATCAATAAAAGAAATAATCAGTCCTCAAGTGTTAAGCAAGAGAAAAAAAGAGCACAGCATAAAATAACTGAAAAAAAATTCAAATCAAATACATAAAAAAGAAATAAGATATGGAAAAAAAGTGTGAAAAACCCCCAACTTCACAGCTCCATAAACAGATGAGTGTGAGGTAGCTATGGCAGGCCACAAAACAGTCAAAAGTAAGATACAGGAGCTTGTTCAGACAGTTATCAAGTTTTACAAGCTTTTACATAAGCATTTTACATCTTGCCATGCACTTATTTCTAGGAGTCTTTATACGTACTCAAACATAGAATTTGTCATGAAACAGTGTCATGCATAAACTGCATTTAAGGGTGTCTGCCACAAGAGTATGGACACAAGGGTTTTTCTTCACTGTAGGTACCAATTACACATGAAGCAAACAGTGGCATGCTGAAAAAACTTAAACACAGAAGGGCTAAAGATAAATACTAAATTTTATAACTCCATAAATTATATGATAGTTGTAGCTTCCAATCTAATATTTTGGAGTCTTTCAGGGCTGGAAATCAAGAGCATTAAGTGCTCCAGAAGTGCTGCAATCTGCCCTTTTCAATGACTTCCATAAGCCTGAAAGGATCTGATGAGATTGTGAAAATAAAAGTAGAAATCTTGCCTGAAATAAGAAGAACAAAATTTATCATAATGAAATTCCAATTCAAGTGAAAAACAATTCCACAGCATTAGTATTGACCGGTCTTACGAGGTAAGACAATTCCAAAATAACATTTCTTGCTGCTAGAAATAACTACTTGATTTAAAACTGGTTTTAAAGGTAGTCATATCCACAACTGCTGTCAGTTTCAAATGTGATGCTCTCCATACCTCCAGATATCCAAAAATCTGTATTTTCAGACTGAACGCATAAAATCACTCAATTTAAAAAAAAAAAAAAAAAAAAAAAACCACACCAAAAAACCCCAAACCCACCCAGGCTAAGTCATCAGGATTTCTAATACATTTTCTTATATTTGAGGGAAAAAAAGATCTTTGTAGGTAATAAATATTTTTACCAGCAGGAGCATCTGTGAAATTTTGTTTTGCCACATTAGCCAGGAAATCAACTCCTTTGCCTAGATGCAAAGTCTCATAATCATTATTTTCTTCTGATTCAGAAAACTCCACATCTAGGGGGAAAGAAAAAAAAAAATGCAATTTCATTAGAGACTTGTATCAGTTCTGATAGAAAATGCTATTTCCTGCTGGTTTGATGCTGTCATGGTTATCAAAAATACATTTTTAACAAGGATTTTCATCATTTGACACAGGTCAGCATTAGTACAATGACTAGTTTAAAACCTAATGAGGTCATTGCTTCTTTAACTGCAGTAGAATAAGTTTTGCAATAGCTGCTAAACCACTTGTTAAGTCTGTCTTCCAATTAAACCTTTTCGGTGTTAAGTAGATGATGACATCTCTATGCAGATGATATCAAGATTGTATTGAATGACCTATTAATGAGTATTTGGAAGGCGTTTCCCAAGCAAAGTAGTTCTAGAATATTACACTTGGGGAGCCAACCTGTACTGCTCCTCTCTGTTTAACAAAAATAATACTCAGTAAATAATTCAAAGAAGGTACATAAGGAAAAATGTATTTGCTTGGAGGTACTGAGAAAAAATAAATCCTTCTCTATTTTATGTGAGTTGTGTTTGAGATCAAGGCGTTACAGGCATAAACAGAGGGAAGAACAAATATCAAAGTTAGTTCAGTGGTTTTTAACCACATTTCAGTTTTGAAGTGACATGTATTATTTTATAATTGTATAATAAACACGTTAGCACCCATCGCATCTTGCCATGCCTGACACCAGTGCCAAAATATGGCTAAAACAGGAAAGAATTTTGGGCTTTATATGCAAAACCAGCTTTTGCTAGGGATAGTCCCCAGGCTGGTCAGCTTCCAGTTACACTTCCAAGCCTGATCCATGTGATAGATCTGTTCATGGTGGGTGGAGCAGTGCTGGAACTGACCTCTAACCATGTGTTCCTTCCAAAGTTATGCTTTCCTTGAGTTATGCTTGCTTAGCCTCAACTCTGATTCAGACGCTTCTAAAACAGTGGACTTTAACTCAGGTAAGAATGCAATCTCAGCTACTGAATTTTATGTGGCTGATATCTTTGGTAGACATATCCTGCTGTGATGAAAATGTTAGCAGCTCTGTGTATCTTATCCAAACAGAAGCTGAAATTTCATTTATATTGTACCCACTGCATTGTTTTGTTTACAGAATGTTAATGTGATATTTTTTTAATGTGAGCAAAAAGGCCAACTAAAATTTTGTTTGTCATCCAGATTCCTAAAAAAAAAAAGCTTTTAAACACTATATTTAAGCAGGAAGCAGATCACCATTCCAAGTTCTGAACTATGACTAGAAGTTCCTTTTTACTTTAGATTTGCTATGGCATATAATAAAATCTTTTAGGGATGCTTACTGGCAATATAGCTGGTAAAATTCAGTCAATGAAAACAGTCCAAGAGTTTTTTTTACCTTTTTCCTTCAAAGCAAAATCTTGGACTGGATTTTCTGAAGGAATGTTTCCATTTGGTATGACACTGCTATTTCTCTGGAAAAAAAGGCAAAAAGTGACCAAAAATGCTAATATCATCAGATAGCAATGGCAGTGACACCATTTGAAATGATGAGTTCAGCAGAATAAGCCTAAAATCCATTGTAATCTTTGTCTGAGACTCAATATGGATGCCACTAATTTCCCACCTACACTTGAAGTGTGTACAGACAGGGTAAAAAAAGAAACTTTGGCTCTTTTTATACTGTGTGTTCTCTCTTAGTTTCACACAACTTTGGTTGAATGCTCCATGCTATCCTGCTACCTCTATCTGAGGTATGATTCACGGTCTGTTGTTTTTCAAGTGATCAGAAATCTCTCACTCAGAAGAAGAGTCCCAAAGCATAGAGAAGTGCAGAATGTGAGAAGAAGCCCCTTGAGTTACCTCCTAATTTTATCTCTTCTTGCTTAGGTCCTCTAAATTAATGAAATTCTATAAGACAGAGGTAAGTGCAGGACATGGGACCCTTCAGAACCCTCCCTAGCCTTCCCACCCATTAGTTTGTATAATAGGTGGCTACATCTGGGTCCTTGTGAAAGTATTTTTTACCCTTTTTTGGCCCCGGTCTCGTTTGTGGATTTTATTGAGCTTCTTGGAATGGTTTATTCCTAGTTTGGTACTCTTGAAAGATTCTAAGCGCTTCCTCATTGTCCTATGGAAAATCTCCTTGTCTTGTTTGTCATCTTCACTGTGCATGATCTCATGTCGACTGTACAGGTGTTTGTGCTGTGGCCAGGAAGGGAAGACAATATTCATTTACTTAGAAATACAAGTGAAAGCCCTGAATCAATGCATTCAATCAGTGTCACGAAAATGTAAACAACTCTATAAGAATGAATGAACTAAAGACCAGCCTGAAGGCATTAATGAAACTCCTATTTTTCTTTTTCTTCATGAAACAAGTCCAGGATTTTTAAGTGTGTAAGTGTTATTCAAAGTAAGTTTCTCCCCTGTAAATGTCTGAATCCCTTCAGTTGATACACTTCATTTAATCCTGATGAGAAACTTTGCTGTCCACAGTTCTGCATTCCACTGGCCCCAGTGATTTCAAAGGCACTGGTTCTTTTAAAATGCCATGTTCTTAAATGAGAAATCACACAAAGAGCCTGTCTTCCTCAAGGGTGCATATTTTGCAGTGGATTCTCTCCTTTTGAGTTTCACTCACAAGTTTGGTTCCTATTTCCTCTTAGTTTTAGATTAGAAAACAGTCCAATGCTAGCCTCTTGCTCTCACCTCCTGCCTGGGTTTATACAGGTACTGCTGTAGAGTGTGATGAGCAAGGGTATCTTCTGTGTCCCGGATACTTTTCCTTCTCTGCTCTAAAGCTTGCATGTCAAGGCAAACCGGTCCAGCTTTTTCTCTCCTGAAGAAAAACACAAACAGTGGTTTTTGAAATCAGTGATCGGTGAAAAGGAAGAAAAAACAGGAAAATGGGGAATGAAAAGCAGAAAACAAGATGAAACTAAAAAAAAAAAAAAAATTAAAAAAAAAAAAAAAAGAAGAGTAAGAACTGGCTAAATGACCAAGACTGAGGTAAATGCCTAATGGGAAATGTGAAAATGTCATTGGTTTCTGTGTTTCAGGGGGATGTAGTATTAATTAAGATCACAATTTACATGACACATGGTATATTCAGTAAGAGATTAATCAAAAAGTTAAGGAAGGGGCAATTCTTTTCCTTGCCTCTCTCCTTACTTTTTCTGGAGCAAACGCAGAAATAACATCTAGCCCTGTATATAACAGCTGGTGAACCAAAGGAAAATAAAACAACTTTAATGTGGATGTCTGCTTCATCTTACCAGCCTTTATCAGAAAAACTGTGTGTAAAATATGACATTATAAATCCATATATACCCATTTTCTGTGGGAGTAAATATTAATTAAAGTTAAAAAAAGTAGTGACTGAAGCCCCTGTAATTTGCATTTTTCAATTTTTTTAGCAGTGTTTCAATTTCCTCTCATACACCACCCCATCAGTCCACTTTACTTACAATAAATAAGAGACAGAGCTTTCCACGGTGCTTGGGAGCGGAGTGCTGAAATCCACATTTACCATGTTGTCTGTACTTGGAGAACGTATAAAGGCCAGTGAACCTCTACGTTCTCCCTGGTCATGGAAAGAAACAAGACATATAACAGCTGTAAAAGCCTAGGACAAAATGTGTATCAGAATACAGATAATTTGTGAGACTGTATTTATGCACATACCACAAGAAGCATGGGAGGAGTTGTATCTAGGTAACAAATAAAAACTATTTTTAGGTTTTATGGTTTCTTTATGTGAAGTGACATTATCCCAAGAAACAAAGCAAAGAGAAAACCTATTCCACTCTTAGAAACTGATTTTGAAGAAGTGAATGATTTCCTGTACCTCATTAGATTTGCAATTTTACATTGTACAATGCTGCAAGCAAAGAGCATAGGAACATACATAAGGATGTTTATGTTTCAACACATCAACACATTATCAGTAGCATTTTCAGAGACACAACATTAAGTTTTCTGTTCTCTACCAGACTGGAAGCAGCAAATATTATGTGGTGATAGAAGTCTAAAAGACAATTAAAAAGAGTTTATGTCATGACAAGATGAGATATTGAAGAGATGAGATTTCTTTCAGTTTTAAAACTGATGCCACAGAAGTGAACTACTGGAAAAGCTCAGTTTTTGTCTTCATACTTTTCCCTACACCTAAAGTAATCTCTTGTTTAGCTAAAAGGTATCTGTTGGGTGACACTGTGGTTACACAGGCTGAAAACATCTATGGTTTTAAATCACAGTGGAGGGAAATCACATAGCAGGTCTCTAGATTTTAAGCAGTAATAATCAAGAAAAATCACCTCCCTTGCAGAACAGATCTCTACATTTCTCCAACTTTAACTGTACCATGTTCCATTTACATTTTCATATTTATGGAGCAAACAAAAAAATGTTTTCTTTTGATGTGGTAACCCACATGTGTATCAGTATGTGGGTTACCAATGGCATTAAGAAATACCCTGTGGCCTCTGCAGGCAGAAAACTTGAGTTTAATAAAATTGAATTCTGCGAGAACATCGTCCCATCTATTTTCTTAAGTGAATCTGACCTTCTTTTCAAATCAAATTTAATGTTTCATACATACATCATACCATATAATCAGGGAAGGTATTTTAGCCAGAACAAGTTACGAACCATGAGTATTTTAAGTCACTTCCTTTCAGTTGCTCTGGGTTACTTTCATTTTTCTTGGTTTAAATTCTCTCCTCCCAGCTGTAAGGAATTTACTTAGATAGAGACTGAACTCTCTCAATTCTTATTTATTATATAGATGCACCACAGAAGCAGAGTTCAACAAAGAAAAATATATAAAATAACTTTTAAATTCCTCATTTTCTTGCAAGTAAGGAGAGAGTGAGTAGCTGGGGGAGGCAGGTCTTTACTTGTCTTGGAAGAAATAACTTTAATTTCAAAGTCAGCCTGTAATTCATAGATATTTAGTTCAAAGGTATATTTGCAAAGTGAAGTTTTCTTTTAATACATTCTTTTGATACATTGTATACTTGAAGAAAATATTAAAGTGAGAAAGGTGAAATTACTTTAGAATTCACAACTCATAATTAATTTCTGCTGGAAGAAAATATATTGCAAAACTTCTGTAGAACTTAGAGAACTTTCAATTTCTTTTTCTATTATTGGATCAGTAGACATTTGCCCAACAGAATTTATCTGCAAGAAACAATATACACAAATAGGATTTGGACTAAGGTATCAAAAAGCAGTTCCGTTGTGTTTCATCTCCTAAGAATTTATTAGTTGAATTTTTAGAAATGTTTCTTTACTATATAGGATCAAAGACATTATTGGATAAAAATTCTGACTCTAAATCTGCATATATTAGTGATCTATAAAGCCCTTTGCAGCTGTTAAAGAAAAGAAACACTATAATGAATCTACTGTACAGATTCAGCAATGAATCTGAACATGAGTTTCATGGTCATCCACCTCAAAGTCATTATCTAACTTTCTTCCTCTGAGGTGTGACCCAGAAAGAATCACAAGAAAGAAAATTAGTTCTTGAGCTCAGACGGTCTAAAAACCAAATGGATAATTTACAAAATCTCAAAAGGAAGAAATTGCTTGTCTTGTTGAACTATTCTCCATCTTCCATACTAACATAATTTCTGAATTTAATCCAACCTCCAAAATTATATGTTTCTTTTGAAGAAGACTTTCTGGCTATAGCTCATTAAAAAAAAAAAAAAAAAGAGCTTAGGAGTAGTAGTATCAATGATAGTAATAGTTTTTATTTAAATTAAAATAATTAAGTGATATATCATGTAACTGTGAAAATTAATTCAATTGCAGATTATGGACATAGATAGATTATAATTGCAAAGACCACTTTTACAAATATTCCATTTAAAACTATCCTTTGCACTGTATCTATACTGCACATTCGTGGCTATTTGAACTGAGGTGACTAGTTTCATACTGAAGAAGATTAGGAACTCTTACACAATCAGGTAACATTGCTGCAGTACTCCTGTAAAGGTCAGAAACTTTCTTCAAATCTCCTTCAAAAACTTCTGTTGAAAGTCTTAAGTTTCCCTAACTTCAACATTCTTTCATTGCAATTGATATTTGTAGTATATTTTACCCTAATTACTCTATCATGGGGGTTATGATTCCATTGAATTAAAGTTACGCTTTTATATTTTTTTCTTTTGTGCATGCTACAGTGATCTGGCAGATTGAGATTAGCAGTCACACACTTTGGCCACATATGGACGTCATTTGGAAGTGAGCTTCTTCAAATCAGATTTGTCATCACATAGAACCACTATCCTGCAGGAGCCAGACCCTGATGACATATTTAGAAAGATAACACCCCTCCAGAATTACAAGGTTTTTTTCATGTAATGAATATAGAAATAAAGATATTCTATAAAATGCAACAGAAATGTACACTGAAGTAAGTACAATATACTAGCATTTGGTGATCAGGTACAATGCTGAGAACCACAGCTTCTCAAATCAGCAATACTGACACTCAAAACACATTAAAAAAATAAAAAAAGCAAAGCTGAGATAGAAATAGTTTTCCTTTAGGCATCTCCTGCAATAGATCAACTTTAGGTTATAGTACAAATTTTTAAAAAACAAATTCCAAATGATGCTATAATATGTCAACAAGTGTTCATAAGTACCTCAGCCACATAGCTAATTGCATCCTTCAAGTTGAGCTCATGGAAAACATTAAGGATTTGGTCCCTTGATTTTTGAGCAGACCTTCTCATCAGTATTTTTCTGAGGTATTTCCTATCAAAATTGGACCACCTGATAATTTAAACAAACTGTGTTAATGGCAACAAGCAATTTCAGTTTCAAAGCATTTTTAATTTAGTATAAATTATATTTTTTTAGCTAAACACTTTGAAAAAAAAGGGTGAACAATGGAATGTGAGGGTTTTGTGTCTTGAAGCTTTTTGATTAGCATGTAAGGAAAGTCAAGAAGAAGCCTGCTACAGACTTATTCAGCTGTCACAAAGCATGTAGTCAGTTCACTCACCCAACACTACTACAAGAGTGCTGTGATTACAGCATCTTATTTAGGAGTCAGTAACACATTTTATACTTTGGGATATTATGTTACTTTATTTTTTTCACTTCTGATTGCTTAATTTTATTCCCTTGTTGAGAAAGTAATCTGCTTTTTCCCGTGTGTATTGTAGGACAGCCAGACCAGAAAATCAGTTCAGAATGACAGTGCCCTTCCAGAAGCTCTACCAGAGGGCCACTGATGTGCCTTTAGGGATAGTAGCCATGTGCATTTTCAATGATCTACACTTCCAAGGTTGTCTGATAGTAGAATATCTGCCCTATCATGTTTAGGGTCCAAAAGATTAAAGGCTGTTGCACTTTCTTCCAACTTTCTCAACAATTCATCCAAATGGCATGAGGCAGCTTTGGTGACTACTGCTCAGAATTTCTCCATCCATCTCACCCAATGGCCATTTTGAGCTTTTGATTCAGATTGCATAAACCTTTTTGTGTTAAATATTATTCACATAATTTATAACTATTCCTCTTTGGCCAGAACATCTGACCAGAAGGCTCTAATTCAGGTTGCTACACCTGAACCCATCAGTTAGGATGCTAGGGGTTGCTGTTTCTTTATGGAAGCAGCACTTCAGTGTACATAGAGTCCAAAAGGCAGGCTTAAGAGAGTCTCATTCAAAATACATTTGTCATCAAACCACATACTCAACCATGAATCTATATTAAACTATTCCTTCTGTTCTTACTCAAGGGGATTACTTTCTGACATGCAAGAGCTCACATGCTAATCTGCCACTTTAAAAATATAGCTCTGTCTTTGAGGCAATATATCAAAACTGGAGGCATATTTGCCTGTATTATATATAGCCTACTGAAATTTATTCCCGAAAAGTAAACTATAAACTTAGACCAAAATAAAGAAGATGTTCTGTCTGTAGTGCCTCAGAAAATTTTTTACTGCATAAATAAATTAAAATCAAAAAGAAAGTAAGGAGATTGTCTCTATAACTGGATGCAGGTGAGTAATTCTGCTTGAGTTCCAGTACAAGCTATCTTCAGTCTAAGAATTGTATTGTTTTGCATGATAATGTTAAACCTAAGCTAAGAGACTCAGCTTCTCAGAAAGCATTAGGGGTGTGCTCTGCAGAAAGCTAACACAACTACATGGCTTTTGGATTGGAATTGGCATGTTGAGTCAGCAAGAGGTTAGTTAGCAGGTCAAAACTGTGACTCTTTGCACCTATGAAATGACCTGACTCCAGGGAGAGAATGGTCTAACTTGAAATAATACTCTCAAGGATGTCCAGATTTAATGTCCTTTGTTTCACATTTATTCATCTAGGTATGGAAATGTGTCCATCACAAGGGTAAATCTTCACATGTAGGAAGGAAATGGTGTATCTTTCATCTGAGTAATTTTACTTCTCTCTAGATGAATAAACTATAAACAGAGGGGATGGTTCACTATTAGTTTCAGACGAATAGGCTGAAACTGTCAGAGTAATTTCAGAGCACCCTCTGCCACAACTTTCAGAGGTGTTGAACACATCCTTGTAGAGATAGGATAAACAACTAGCATAGTTGTAGGTCAGGATGTTTAGTGCCTCCACACATAAATAGTGTTCATTAAATGTAGTAGTACAAAGAGAAACCGACATTAACATTCTAGGTGAAAACTTCTGCAAATAGTCCATTCTCTAATCTTGTGAGGATGACCCCTGTATGTGAACTGAGGCACCTGCAAAGGCATAATCTGAACTGTGGAAGAGAAAGGAAAGATTCTAGTTGTAAGGGAACAAAATTACACTGTTTTGACATTTGCTGTATTTTCAATATTTTCAGTATGCAACCCCTTTAACTACATTTAGCATCCTTGCTTTCCCTAAGCTCACAGGCTTAAAAAGTTGTAATGTACTAATAATATTTCCTAGCAGTATTTCAAGATTCTAAATAGGTTACTACTTACTTGTCTCTCAGATAATGATGCCCTATTTGTCCAGAAATGTCTTCTATAGCAGAAAGAATGTGATCAAAGGCCTAGGAAAGTGAGAGTGGAATTAATATCTTTACAGAAATGAAAAAGCATAATTAGAAAATATCTCAATTTATTTCAGATTGTACCAGGTGACCATGGAGGATAATTTTATGGCTGCTATAAATTTTTTTTCCCATTTACCGAAGTACTAACTACTATAAGCTTTTCTGCAAAGGTCCTGAACTTTCTAACCAGTTCTTCATAAATTCACTTAAGTATTCTAGAATTACAAGGGTCTCAGCGAGAAAGTACTCAAACCCCCATTTCAACAGTCAATTTTAAAACTTTTATGAACTCATTTTATCATCTCCATTTCTGCCCTATTAAGTACATCTGCCACTATTAGTGTAGGTGGTTATTTCAGTTGAGCAGTTTCCACAGTGATTCTTTTTAGATGTTTCAGCAGTTCATACTCCCCTCAGAGTAGAAGTAGGCACCATTCTTTTAATATCTAGGGCAAAATTTCATACTGAGTGTATTAGTTGGCTGATAGAAATCTGGAGGCTTATAACTCTTGATTCAAACCAAGGCAGCTGCAGGTACAATTTGGCCTTTTTCTGTGCATGGTTATTAACATTTCACTCTGAACATTGGAATGATTACTGCAGAATACACAGTTGCTACGTTTGGAAGGTCAGGGCTGACATTTGGTACTGGTGAGGCTGTACCTCTAGTCCTGTGTCCAATTCTGGGCCCCTCACTTCAAAAAGGACATTGAGGTGCTGGAGCATGTCCAGAGAAGGGCAACAAAGCTGGAGAAAGGTCTGGAACACAAGTCCTGTGGGGAACAGCTGAGGGAGCTGAGGTTGTTAAACCTGGAGAAAAGGAGGCTCACTCTCTATAACTACGTGAAAGGATGTTGTAGCCAGGTGGGTGTTGGCCTCTTCTGCCATGTCCCAAGTGAAAGGACAAGAGGAAGGTCCTCAATTGTGCCAGGGGAAGTTCAGATTAGATTCCAGAAAAAAAAAGTTTTCCCTGAAACAGTGGTAAGCACTGGAATAAGTTGCCCAGGCAGGTGGTGGAGTCACTGTCTCTCTAAGTGTTCAAAGAGTTGGCTGGGCATGGTACTGGGGGATATGATTTAGGAGTGACTGTGGTGGTGATGTGTTGATGGTTGGACAGAATGTTCTTGAAGATCTCTTCCAACCTTCATGATTATGTGGTCTTATACTCCTCCATCCTTTAACCTATATTTATATTGAAAAGTTACATTTTCTTTTAATGAATGAAAATTTTATAATGTGGTATGAAAGTCAATTGGAAGAGTTTGTGTTTCAAAATATTCTAAAAGGGCAAAGAAATCCTGGGACATACAACATTCACACTGAATTAAAACTGTTGTCATCAACCTGGAATGTCAGTATATAATTTTTCTGTACTGGGCAGCAGAGTATTTTTCTGTGTAATATGCAAGCTACAAAGCCTGCATTCAGGCTTTCCAAAAATTAAGGTTTTGAGAAGGAAAAATAAAATTTTTTGGACATGCTTTGCCCTAGCAATCATCAATCGTTCTCCTCTTTTAGATGAAGACAAAGAAGCATATTCCATCTGTGCTGTCTCCCCAGTACTCACAGCCCCATTGAATTCTCAAGTGAAAGACCAGAACTTTCATATGAATATCCTCTCATAGGACTCCAATCAAAGAGAAACAGCAATGTACAAATAACTTTTGAAATATTTGAAGGATTTTGTACTTTTTTGATAGCCCACTCCCTTACAAAAACATTTTCACTAATAATTTTGTTTTCTCATAAGGTGGTCTGTAAAAATGCCAAAGATACCATGAGGGGTTTTTTTTAATATCTTACTCTGCCATGAAGTTTCTCATTCAGTTTTGGTTCTCTGTGTTCAGTTTTCTTCACTTTCAGCCACTGTACCAAAGGTTTGATAGTCAGTCCCTAAGGATTGAAACATGACAATAAATGCTTAGAAGACCTCTTAGACTTTCCTCCAGCCAGTTAAACAGAAATAAAGCACATTTATGTTTTATTTGGTGGTTCTCATACTTTCTCAGTTGATTTCTATTCCTTCTAGAAGATAAAATAATACAGTACCCTCAGCTCCTATTACAAAGATTTGAAAAGACAACAGTGGAAAAATATATCATCTACAGGAAAAATATGGTAGTGGAAGAGTAGAAGTGTTTCCTATGCCACTGAATGTGGTATTTTCTCCACAAATCAGGAGTCTGTGAACACAACTAAACTTTTTGTAATACACTTCAGAAAATATTGTAAGCTGCTATCTACTGACACATTTTCATTAAAATCGATGGTTTTTTATCCAGGAAGTGCTATTTTGTTTAGAGGTTAAATACTTTCTTTCCCCACTGCTTGCTGCTATTTTTTAAAACAAGGACTGAGGCTCAGGTAGATCAGCTTAATGACTGTATCTGCCCATTAAAAGCATGGTTCCCTATAGTTATTCACATGAGGTGAAGGATGTTTAATCAGATATTAACTTGGCACTATTAATACCAGGCAGCTAAGACTGAACAATTTTTAGCACAGAGGAAATTGTGTTTTGCCCCATGTGGTCCCACATGAAAACATAAAATAGGATCTTTGTTACTAAAATTACAAATTCAATTATGCTTTCAGTTCAGTGAAACAATATGCAACCTTCAGCTGAGAACTGCTTTAAGCATTCAGTACATTTGAGGGACTCCTTCTCCTTGCAAGAAGCATGCTTGAGAAGTTAAATTACCTGGAATATAACAGTAAAAAACACAACAATGATAGTCGTGCTGACAAACAGGTTTCTGTCTTTTACTTTATTCTCATCCAGAAGTGCAACAAGAGCAAAAGCAACTGCTCCTCGTAGTCCACCGTAGGACATCACCACCTGATCTATTATCTCCAGCTGGACAGTTCTGTAGCGGTTAAGAATCCACGTCTGTATAATGACACCTGTAACACAGGTGTAACACACAAATGTCAGCATGTCTAGAAATATCCTTATGGAACGTCAATATCCCAGCTTTGAGTAACAGAAATGGTGCCACCAGTCTGCCTTTCTAACAATCTTCACCATCTACTTCCCCTTCTTATCACCGTGTTGCCCGCTTGGTGCCTTCTCATTACATCAAGCTGAAGGAATTAGGCGAAGCTGCTTCTGTGAGCCAGCAGCTCTTCTGAGAGTGCTGCCCTCTGGCACAGGCACTCCAGGGAAGGTTTCGCCGTGTGCTGACCTTGGAAATTCATTAAGAAAGAATAGGTTTTCTAGCACTGTAACCAGTGATATGCACAGGGTCAGTTAACAGAAACAGGCTAAACCAGCACTGATTTAGGGGTGTGGCACCCTTTTGCAAATCATTGAAAATTACGTGTAAGTCATTGTCTTATGAAGGGTTCTTTAGTTATGCTAACACTGTCTCCAGACCTACAGGTGAGATGCTGCCTGCTGCAGGAGACCTAAGGCTCTAGCTGTGTCAATGTATTCCAGAACTACCTCCATACAGAGGGAAAACAGCTTCAGCATTCATGTAACTGACATGGCATGTGTGTCCCACTGCAGCAGGCCAGCGCAAAAAAAAATTCCTCTCTTTTTAAAGAACTTTGAACTTGTGCCAAGAGAAGTGTCTTGTAACTGTAAGGAGGGCCGCTGGGGGAGGGGACCTTGGAAATGCTACCAATCTGACTCCTCCACGGAATGAGAACTGCAATTATGTAATGCCCAATATCATCAAGTATTTAGTAATTTGTCAATGTCTAAGATCAATTACTTTAGTGAGTGATTATTGTTATTGCTGAATATTTACTAATCTATTACAGGATTGTTAACCACTCATTTGAGGAATACAAAAAGTGTCAAAGACGAGACACTTTTAAAACACCTCAGGTGCATTTGCAGTTACTTGCTGAGAGGCAGCTAAATTAACAATGCTTTCAAAATATTTAGAAAAGGAGGGCAAGGAGCTAGGCACTTCATTCAGCTCAGGAGCTTCTAGACAGAATAAAAACACAGAATCTAGGAAAACTGCCAGCTAGATAGATGTGTGACCTGTCATTTGAATTTAAGTCAAGACAAAAAGGCAAATAACGTGGTTTAACTTATTCCCAGGTGTAAGTACATACACCAAATTGCCATGTTTGTTACTCTCTACAAGTACTTCGTTCTACACCTTTTTTGCAATTTTAGCAAAACTACAGCAGAACTATGTAGCTGGGCATGTCATCATTGGTATTTTGAAATATTTGCAACTGTATATAAACCCAGTAAACTGACAGTAGGTAATCCCTACCTGACACAGCCTTATTTACTCAGTTTTTCATCAGTCTCTGAGAATTATTTCTAAAGCCAGAGAACCTGCACTGTAATTATGTATGGTCTGATATCACTGTGTGCCTAAAACCTGAAGTCAGCCATAACATTAGCTTAAGACAATCTCTTTAGTGCCAAATTGAAAGAGCTGAAGGAAAGATACGGCAGACAAGAGTCACATCTTTTGTTAGATTGCAAGTTAAAGAACAAAGTCCATTTTACTGGGAGATTTTGACAATACCATTTGCTGGGTCAACAAAGGTTAGCCACTGAATGATTCATGTTAACTGCTGGGCTACTCACATCTTCACACATCATCAAAAATGACATCCTGCTATATTTTCAGCATATGACAGAACTTACTGTAAAGTTTACCCTACTAGTCTAACACAAATCCAGCAATAAATTCAAGTAAAATAAATTGAATGTTTCAAACTGAATAAACATAGAACTCCAAATATTTTTTTGGGGAGAGGGCTAAAGAATATGTGATTGCATCAGCAGTGCAATGCAAACACAGGAAGGTTACTCTCTTACCAATAACTCTATATACAGAAATGAAGACCAGAGTCAACAGAATAAAAGCTGTATTCCATGTCCAGATATTTGGATCCACAGCCGAAATACCCAGGAACATGAAGATAATAGTTTCTGCTCCACTGGCTAGCATTTTCATAGTATATTTTACAGTTGTAGAAGACTGTTCAGATATGTTAGCCTTGACATATTTCTGACAGCAAATGCCACAAAAGGTTATCCTAGAAAAAGAAGCAGTTGTTCAGAAAATATGTATCGCAACATATAATATTATTTCCATCTGTCTGTCACATAGTGATAAAAATCCACTATTAATTCCTAAGAAAAGATACATTCACAAGTACATGGAGTCTACCCTTGGTAAAAAGCATATCTCAAATATACATGATGATGTGACCTCAAGTGGCCTGAAGACAGCATTTAATTTGAACATAACAGACTGTAATTCTCTTCAGATTACCATACTGCTTTCAATGTAAATTTTTGAACCTTGTTTACATTAGACATAATCTTAAACTAATGATCTGTTTGCAAAAAGATTTGCAGAACTTGAATACTATATCATCTACCAATATGACAAACAAAACTGAGAAGAAAGGTATGCTGGGAATCAATGGAAACTAAGAAGAGAAAGACCATAGAGGTACTCAAGCCAAAACTGGCAACATTTAGGCAAACCTTAATGGTCAGCCACAACAGAGAGAGAACAAAGAATAGTGACATTCACACAGTCCGTTAGAAAAATATTTCTTCAGTTTCAAGTAATAGGGAAAGATGTCACCACAAATGGACAACTGTTAAGTTTGAAGTATTATTAATAACAAAGAGGAAAGAGTCATGTCTTTGTATTTTGCAAAGGAGTTCTCATGTTGCTCAGCAGATACTGGAAAATTTGCATTCCTTTTCAAGGCTGAATGACAGGATTGGCAAACTATAATCTAGTGCAGTGTGAACATAGTATTATCCAGCATAATCTTAATGAGTCCCACATATATATAAAATATATTATATATTTTTTATTTTTATATATATGTATATATATATAAAATATAGAGTTGTCCCATATAATTTAGGTTTTCCTTTCAATGTTTTTAAATACCATTTTCCCTTCTCATCCCCTTCATAGGCAGTAATAAAAAGAGACTTACGCTAAGATGGCAGAAAGAGAAAGCATCTCTGCTGTGAGGTATGACAGGTAGGAAATGATAAACACAAATCCAGGTTCAATGATCCTCACATGCTTGGTGAAACGACTGACCAATGAGAGCAGGAATGCAAAGAAAATTCCAACCAGTGTCCCACCAAGGCTCACCACGAAGAATGACACTGAAAAACAACACACCTAACACAACTTAAACCATAGAAATATAATGGTTTGACCTAGTTATTTTCCAGAGAAAGGACAACAAATGGCTAGTAAATCACAGAAAAATTTGGAGGACATGTCAAATTCATTTCTAGGCCCAAGGCTTTTGAGCACTTGGTATGTGGATGTAGCATTCTGTAGAAAAACAAGGCTACTTCTTTAGTAAAGAAGTCAAGCCTCACCGTTTTACTTTTATTCAAACCCACTGCATTTCTTTGTACTATTTTTTCCCATGTTCTGTAAACAAATGTTTTTTACAAAAGCGTATTATAGAATACAACAAAGTCACTATTAAAACATTTATTCATAAGATAATTTAGTTTCATGCAATGCTTAGAATAGGAAATAGTGACTAAATTTTCAGGCAAAATTTCTTTATAGTTACTGGCAAACATTGCTTGATGGTGATCAGTGATAAGGAGTGGAAATGCCTGTATGCAATCTCAACTTTCCTGGAATGCAGGGAGACCATAGGCTAAAATTAAGGAAATGCTATTAAATACAAAGAAAATGTATATAGCTGACAGTTTTGGTGTTCTTAGCAAATGAACTCCACATCTGTTGAGTGTCCTCAAAAGAAAACAGATCTGATTAAGTTTCCCAAATATTCAAGAATTTTTTTTTTTTTTCTTTTCTTAAGACATTTACCTGTGCCATATAAGTGTGTGAATATGAGTAATAATGGAAAGGGATGAAAAATAACAGTTGCCAATAGCATAGCAATAATGTTTTGTTTAAAATACTGCATATATACACCAACTGTGTGATACAGAATTTATTTCTACGCACCTATGCCTTTGAGACATTCAATTCCTGTCACATTCGTTGGACCTATCGCAACAAAAGAGTCAAACACATTGTACAGCACCTGGAAAGAAAAGTAGACTAATTTAATAATTGCTCCTGAATTGAGCCTATTAAAATAATCTCCTTAGGGGCCTCAATATTATGAAGTCTGAAATTGTGGGGAAATTCTGTCTGGAGGAAGAATTTTATATTTTCTCAAAATAAAATAAATGCAGTGGGCCAAGAAGAAACAAACATTTTAAAAAAAGAACACCTCACAACAATACATTTGTCTCTTCAATATGTCACCTATGAAGCATTGTTACATATATGTGTGTTTTCTAAAGCACTTCTTGCTGTAAAATCAAGGTATCTGAAAGATTCATTCCCTCACACATATAAGATAAATGAGATAATTAATAAGACAGTAGTATGATGCTAATAATAAGATACTGAATTATGTTAAATATATATAATTTGCACATAAGAGAGAATATAATAATTGTGCTAAAACTTTTAAAATAATTGACTAACAGTGACTGAGCTGAAAGTAATGAATTCACCTTATCCATACCAGTGCCTAAGGAGGTTTATATGAGTATAATTTTTATTGAGGTTTATATGAGTATAATTTTAATGTCAATTTAATCTGCTCTTAGTTCTTCCACCGGTGAATGAGGCTTTCTCAGCTTTCCTTGTTTTTGCAGTTAAACTTGATAATTCTTATTGTATTCATGCAGTCATGGTATACAGTTTACTTTTTTTCTGTAACAGTAATCTTTTTCATATTTATGTCTAAAGAATGCTATACCATCTACTTTCTTCTATCTTCCAGTCTTTCCCTTTTCAAGGTAGTAACTACTGTTTCAAATTTCCTCATAGGCTGTGGTTTGTAGCTCAGGATCATGCTTGCTCTTCTGGTTTTTTTACCAATGAACAATCAAACTTTATTTTATTTGTAGACTGTTTGTGTTAATTTCACAGTAACAAAATCTCTTTTTCTTCTGAAAGACAGCGATGTTGATACTTGCGTTCATCAGAGGTTTATTTTAATTCTGGCAATACCCCAGAAGTACTAAGGATACCAATATCCAAAGGCAGTTAGGTTTCTCTGGAAGCAATTCTGTCATTTTCAAACTTGTGAACAGTCAGGCTGCTGTCAATGACTTTAAAGTGCTTTGCTTCCTTGGCTGCAAAAAGTTAAGTCATTGAGCCTCCTGAACATGTCTTACCCTCCCTTGAAAATAGGCAGGAGCAAGAATAGAAAATGATCCAAAAGTGAACTTAAGCTGCACAGCAACTTGTTTGCATAGCATCTTTCTGCCTTAGGACTTCCTGGTCCCTGACCACTAGCACTGCATTACAAAATTATTGACAATTTTGTTTGGGGGGAAAAAAATTGTGTGAAAAGGTGTTTCAATCAAAATTAAAATATCAGTAGAAATCTGAGATTATTTTACGTCTATTACAGACTTTCTAAATTTTAAAATGTTTGCAAAAAAACCCCAGAAACTTTCTAAAATATCGCACTATTTTTTTTTCTGAATTGGCTCTTTGTTATATATCTGTTTGATAAACATCTGACCAAAGTAATGCTAAGGGAGCAGGATAAACACTTTGAAGAGTATTCTCTCGCTCTCTCACTGGCTAAGGTATGCATATAAATTATGAACATAATACAAATACGGAGAAAAATGTATGTGCATTAAAAAATAACAGCAAAGGAAGGCTTAAAATCTCTGGAACTGATTTCATTAAGTCATGAAGGCCCTACTTAGACAGCAAAGGCATGTAAAACATGCACCCCTGAAGCTTCATTTGAAGTGTCCAACTCAGGACTGTGTGTTTTATGTCACAGCTCCAAATGGCTTTCAAGCTCAATCATCTAATATTTATGAGCAAGACAGAAAACACCATTAGCTGCACTACAGAAGCCCATGAGTAGATACACACAAAGAGTACAATGCTTCTTTAAAGGGGAAAATGCACGTCAGAAGTAATCCCCTTAAGTTAGTTGACTTTGGGATATATAATTTACTTACCACAGTTACAGCATCATTCAGAAGTGATTCTCCAAAAACAATGATGAATAGAACTTCATTGACATGGACTTCTTCAAACACTGCCAGAACAGCTACAGGATCCACAGCAGCAATTAAGCTGCCAAACAGGAGAAAGTCCAGCAGTCCAGAGTGAAGTTCACCTTCAGAAACAAAGCAAACAAATTATAAGCAGAATAATCTCTGTATTAGCGATAGTAATGACAGACTGGGATATTACAGAAAGTGCCAAATACTAGAAAATAGAGATGCCAAGTCATCAACTGGAAAGCGTGTTACAGTAACTATTTAAAAAGTTCTGCACTGAGTCATGTTGTACCTGCAAGGTTTTTTTTTGTTTTTTTTTTTGATTCAGCATTGGCCAATGTGGATCAAAGTTACTTCTAGAAGCAGGAGCAGTACTGGCCTGTTCTTGTGAAAAGACAGTTCCAGATTTAAATGAGCTTTCTATTTGTGTGTCGCATGGTTTGTCTAACTTGACTAAATTATCCCAGAATAGCTGAGAACTCACAAGATGTTAAAAGGGTCATACCAGCACTTGTGAAGTAAATATTCCAAAATATTTCATGTCACAGGTCAAATTTGACTTTTGATCACTAAGAACTGCAACAGTGGTGTTTAACTGCACTCAGTACAACTGAATACCCATTGTAGCCTCCTTACTCAGTGATAGCTACTTGTTAAGCACTTGTTTCCAAATTAGGATACATGAGGTGCAGGTGGACCATAAAAATAGATGGAGGACCAACATGTTTGTGTTGTAGCCCCTAAGGAATTTTGGCAACGATTTCAAAAGTTTTGAAGCTACAAAACTCTGGTGACAGTGTAACCCGGTATTTTTTTAAACTTACTTTTAGCGATTAAGGTTATTTTGTTCAGTTATGGAAAGAGACCAAGACAATCATTCACAGTCATTTTAAAAGTAGCAGAAAAAGAAAAGTAGCATAGCCACAAAAAAGTAGCATAGCTCAGCTTCCTAAATACCTAGGAAAATCTACCCTCTTCATGAAATCCAAAGTGGTAACAAAGTAATTTTTTTCTAAGGAAAAGATTTCTGAACAGTAAAATTCCCTTTGTGTTCATTAATGGGTGGAGGATGCAAGGTTCATTAAGAAGTGATGTTGCCAAAAATCATATAAGGAAGATCAAAGAAGGAACAGGTTGAGAATTCATTCATTCAAACACAATGCAGAGGCCCACGCCCACAATTTTCAGGCATGATTTCTACAGGTAAAGAAGAAATCCATCTAATTAAATGGTTTTGGAGCATGAGTCAGACAATGACAGACAGTAGCCATAGCCACAGCCACAGGATCACTAGGGCCTGTAAGGTACTTCCAGAACAGCATGGCCACCCCTCTAGAAAGAACTCTGAAAGGTAATTTTTCAAATTCAAAATGGTTTGTGCTTAGAATGTAATTGAAACAGAAACCAGATTCCAAATAGTTTTGATACAAAATGGCATAGGCTTATTTACTCAAGAAAAGGATACTTATATGATCAGTCAGAGACAGGTGTAGACAACACCCTATTATATGTGACAATGCCCAGTACTCTGGTGGGGCTGCAGATGTATATATTCGCTTAGCTACTATCTGCCAATAAAAATATCTACAAGGTTTCCATACAGTTTGTAGGAGGTATGGCCCTGAAAACAGGAATTCATAGCTTGCACAGATGTATAACTACCTTATTTTTTCAAGAAGATAAATAGTCTTGTTCACACTTGGACCTACGGGGCTGTGAACAAGGAGTGAGCCTATCAGTTTTAACGTGCAAGTGGGGTTGAGGCAGTGACCTTAAGTCTGTGCCAAAAATTCTGAGAACAGCTGTGAACCTAAATCTAAGCAATAGTTCCACCAAATGTTGTCCTTCTCAGTCAGGCCTAAGGAAGGAACAAGCCCAATGACAATAACTATCAGATATCAGGGTATAATACAATGTTAAGATTTGAAAATAAATTGGCTCACTGAGATTGCTTATCTTTTTTATGTGTTACCAATTATAATAATTGGTACATTCTTTGAAGACTTGCAAATCTAGAAAGCAAATATTTATGGGGAGATTAGGACACATCTATTATTCCTACAAAGTACTGTCAAGAGGCGTGGAGTTTCTAAATCAGACTTTCATTTAGAGTAATAACAGCATTCAATTGGAACATGACCATGGCTTCCTCCAGCTCATCAGTGACACCTGACCAAGATAAGTTCACTGGGCCCAGTTTAAGACTTGTAGACACACTCAGCATTTTGCAGCTGTGACCTAGATTGTATAGGAAAAACTATTCTAAGCACTAGTCACAACCACAATATTGCAAGTGTTAGTTCTCCAGTGAACAGTGAACAGTTCACTGCAATCAGCAGTTACATAATTCTTCCTATTCTGTGGAAGCAGACTGACACGACTGATAGTTAACAATTAATGTGCTACTCTTTATTTCAGTTCTAAAGAAGGATTTTTTCATTACCACCTTCTCCATTTTCCTCCTGCAAATTGTTATATCTCAAGAGTATCAAATGCCAACAAAGAACTGTTTTTATGTTTATTTATGTAGGAAATCTATGCAATCCAGTTTGGATTATGCATTCTTATATTGATGGACAGTACTGAAAGCTCACTGAATGGCAAAGCTAGAAGTCTTTAGTTCTCAAAGCTAGAAGGTTTTAGTTCATCTTAGTCTGTAGTGGATTTACATTTCTACATTTTAATGATATTACTTTTATCATTATTCACTTCAATTGTAGAACAAGTGGGATAAAAATAAATATATGCCATGGAGCTTCAACCAGAAGGTACTATGAACTCTTCTAGAAACTGAGCAACTCAACATTCTCCTATCTTCAGCAAGTAACAACAGCAAGGTTTTTCACAGTGTGGTGGTTAGACCTTGTTGACCTCTTTGAGGTCAACACAATAGATTTAGTGGATTAGTAAGTTTGTGCCATGTAGGTATTTCAGACTCCTACTCAGCTTTGCTGGAGGATGACATAGTTTGAATCAGGGACAGCCTTATCTGCCCTTTTTCACAGCTGGAATTAGAACTTTAGTAGGTCTTCATGGCAAAGACAGGTCCCCACAGCACACAAATAATGCTCTTTATAAGCATTGAAATTTGCCAGACACATCAGTTTATTGTTCGCCTTCATTAACATCCCCAAATTTCTCTTGTAGAGCTTTAGCTATGACTTGTGGTAGGGGGTGATTGTCCTGTGTAGCTGTAAGCTCAGAGTTCTAGTATGCATTGTCACTAAAATATTTGCATACTGATGAAGCAGAACATATAACCATCAAACCCAGCTTTTGCACTTAGTTGTGAGTTGTTTACAGATTGGGAGGAGAAGAATAATATAAGTGAGTTTTTCTCCTAAAATTTTTTTTTTGAAAACAGTCAACTTTTCTATTTCACATATTGTAAGGAAATCAATCCTTTCCCTTTAATGACTTATAGCAACATATTTTTAAAGTAATTATCATACATTGTATTTCCGAGAACAGGTTTTTAAGAAAATATTTTTGGTCATATTTTTAAATTGGTCCAAGCATCTTGGATATTTAAATAAAGAAATTCTTTTCTAATCTGCAGTAGAAATATCCCTGTCATATATTTTCTTTCTGAACATCTGATTTTAATTATAAATGTGATATTGTGGATTAAATATATTGCTTAAAGCACAGTAAACCTCTTATCTATCTAAAAATGTCAAAGATTTTTGCATCTGATCCGTCACCTTTATATCTTCTCAAGAAAATATTACTGCTTCTAAAATAAGACTTATAACAAAGAAAATATCTAAAATGTATCTATCATAGCTGTCTATATTACAAACTTCAATTACATAACATGAGTCTTAAATGAAAGAAGTGATTAAGTACTGCTGGTCTGTGCCTTTTCTAGCAGACCTGTGCTCTTACATCACAGTATAATTAAGACAAAGTGTGTCTTAGAATTATAGAATGGTTTGTGCTGGATGGGACTTCTTATGCCCTCCAGTACCACTACCTGGGACGCCTTCTGCTAGACCAGGTTGCTCAGAGCCCCATCCAACCTGGCCTTGAACACTGCCAGGGATGGGCCACCCACAGCTCCTCTGGGGAAAGCACAAGCAATACGAAACCCTCACTTTTTTGGATTTGTGGTCTAGGAAATTGTGCATCAGCCACTTTGTGAAGTCCCTTTGGACTGCTCCCATTAAAATGGCTTCCGTTTTTTTCGTTTTCTTTTAGTAAGACATCTGCTACTTCATTTTGTAAAACCTCTAAATCTTGAGTTACAATTTCCAGACTCAGAAAATGCAAACAAGATGTGTAGATGGGTCATGCATATATACACTCTCTGGAACCACTTAATATTAGATAACACTTATTATAAATAACTCTTAATTGCATTAATAACATTAAATAGAGTAATATAATCTATTATTAAATAGCAGTAAAAACAACACATAATACTAAAGTTGACTTCAGGAAGACACTTTCATTTCAGAGTAACTTTTAAGATTTCTATCACAGCAGAAAGAAACAAGCCCTTTAGTGTGTATTTTTGTCCAGATGTCCATTAGCAGAAAGAATCCTGAGCTTTATCCTGAGAGTGTGTGCACACATTTAGAGCAGGACAATATAAGAGACATGGATTCAAGTAGCCTTTATACTTTTCTTAAGGAAGCTTTTTCCCTAAGGAAAAGCTCATTCTTAAATTTGATAAAAATATTACAAACTGCTCCCATTAAAATAGAATTTTTCTGCTGGAAAGAGTTGTTACATTGTAACTTATCACCCATCTAACAGTATATACAGTGGCATTCATAATTGTGTCTTCACAGATCAAACTTACCCATTATTCCTGTCAGATAGACACCGTAGAGAGATAAACCAGTTGTGGCAGCATTCCACACTGTCCCAATGACGGCATACAAAAGGATGGAGCCAAGATTTCCAAAGAACAATCTATTTGGCATAAAATACCCAGCATCCAAAACAATGGGGGGAAGCAAATAGAAGAAAAATACAGTTGGTGTCAGGGGGAAGGAGGCAATGTGATCTGCTGCCCATACAATGCCACCGAGGAAAAGACCAAGGACAATCAGCAGAGCGCTTTCTGGTACCACCCGAGTGACTTTGTGGGACAAGTGGAAAACTGCAAGGAAACACAAAAAAAGTGTGTCAAAAATTAAATGGAGAAACAATTTGAGCAATGACTGTTGTTAGCTGGCAGTTTGACTCCACACAAACTTTTTGCTTTCATTTTGATTAGACCCAAAAGTGTACATGGAATGTTTGGGATACAGACACTTATAGAATAAAAAAAAGGAGTCGATCTTTAGATTTCATCCAGCATATTTTATCTGAAGCTAATATATGACATTTATATCCTTCATTGAATTATCTTCTCTTAACAATATCTGTTTAGGGAAAGATGATGTTCTCTGCAAAGCAGTAAGTGCAAGGCTGAAAAGCAATGGAGAAGTCCTGGAAATTGATGGCATTATGGTTTATTTCTGTTACAAAAAATACACACCCAGCTTCCTAATTATTGTCTTTAAAAATGATCCGTTTATTAACAGGCTTATTGGAAGATATGATAAGGATGCTGAAAGAACTAGTTTCAAGACAACTCTTTTTTAAATGTATAAATATTCTGATAATGTAGCCTGCAGCAGAAAATGAAGATTATATCACGGGAAATCCCTTCTGAGACTTTTCTTCAAGACATCCCTAATAAGGATTTCTCATAATTCAGAGGCTTTCTGAAAGAAATGAGGCTTCAGTGGTTCATTCAAATATGTATTTGTGGGGAATGGTTCTGCAGTAGGCTGCTTTCTTTTGTATAGGGTGTGACAAAATTTGTATCTTATGATAGTACATAAAATCTGTTAATAAAGACAAACAATATATGGTATCTATCATAGTAAAATGTACAACAGTATTGTGTGGTCAAATTATTAGACTAGCCAATAATTAGAAGGGGGGAAAATTACTGAGTTCCATGAGCAAGTCTAAAGAGACAGAGAGATGGTGCGACCAGACAGAAAAAACAGACTGTTCAAGGTGACAGAAACACAACTAAGACTGCAAATACATGTAGCAACACATGCATTTGATAGGTATCAGATAAAACATATGCATTTGATAGGTATCAGATAAAAGAAATTATAGTGTATTTGATAGGTATCAGATAAAAGAAAATAAAAAAGCAGAGAGAAGAACATAGAGAAGTCAAGTCTACAAAGAAATATTGGAAGAAGAGAAGTCAAATCTATATAAAAGAGAAGTCAAGTCAACATAAAATAGGAGGAAGAGGCAGAAGTGTTTGATAATAAATAAGGACGGGTGGATTCATTGAGTTCCTTGGGGATTTCTATAAGCTTGTCCTTCAGTTTATCTTAAGTAATGATGTGTCCCAGATGGCCTGAACCCTGGTACTTTGTGAAACTGATCCAATAAATATGGCTTCACTTACATAGCTTTGTGTTGAAAACGAGAGTTACACTCCAGAAAGAAAATTTTAGTAAGAGCCACTAAGTTTCTCCTAGTTTGAACATCAGCTGTGTTGAAGCTGTTATAATGCTAATGCAATTTAGCTAAGAACTAGCTTGGACAAAAATCCATCATTATGAATTCCAGACCCTTAAGCCATAGTGGAAGAATCGTTCCAATGACCATACAGAGATCTTAGACCAGGTTACTTTACTGAAAGACCATTGTTTTTCTTCCCATACAAGTATTTGTCCTTGTCAAACATTTACTAGTTACCTTTTAGGGTGTTTTAAGGGCCCCACTCCTGAACTATCAGCTTTTGCCTTGGCAGCATCTACACAGGCACCATCATCATTACAGCAGCCCCACAATATGCTTCCTTAAGCTATAGAACCTTCATGGTCTCATCAGAATAGAAAACATAAAAGTGATCACAGCCTCCCTATGCCAATAACGAGTGTGAATGTAGATGTTCCTGAGTGTTTGCAGACAAGACTTGAAAACATGTTGGAACACAGCTAAAAAGTGGGATTAATACAAAAGCAATCAGACACAAAAACAAACTGCATTCAGTGAAGCTGACTAAACCCTGCCAACTGTCTATATCATCAGTGTCATGTAATGAAGAGATGAATGACACTTCACAGAAACAAACACTCTGTTTTTTCTGTTAAGTTTCCTCTCTTTGTTATAAAATCCCTTGGGCTTGCATTAAAAAAGAAGAGAGAGGAAATTAAATGAAGAAAAGTAAACTAGCTACTATTCCCTGTGTACAAATTGTGGCATTTAGCTTCTCGAAAGTCCTTCCTGCTAGTCATTCTTGATTCCTTGAATTTCTAGTCAGTGAATTATCAACTAATTTATCACCTCACAGAGAGGGGATTATCTCCTTATCCCTGAAAATGAATGTTGTTAAGCTAGTCTTACTAACCAAAGTCTGGTTTTCCTACTCTTATGTTAGCAGATAAGCCATGACTACAAGAAGTTAAAGTTAAAAATTTAAAATGAACCTGTGAAGACATTTCAAAACTAGGCATTTCAGGGAAAAAAAAAATGTCCAGCTAAAATTTCATATTCTGGAGGATTCTCCCCTTTTCAACCAAAACCAGTTTTGAATTCTGTGAAGTCAATCTGATTTTGGTTATAATATTGTCTGCTCCTAAAAGTTGCATTTTCCCAGTGAATCAACTCTGTCTTATCTGTCTCAGCCCCCTTTAACTCCAGCCACTGATTATCTGTGCCAGATTTTAATATTATCAGCAATAAATTCTTCTACTCTGTTAGTTTAAGGATGCAGGCCATGGACAGGAAAGTTATTGCATGAATGGAGTCTAGAGAAGCCTTTTTTTAATTTTTGTATTTGGCCCAAGCAAAATCTGAAATCCAGACTGTATTTCTTTTAAGATAATTGCCCAGCTAACTCTTCAGACAGATAGCATGCTATATGATTAACAGAAATATGTCTATAAGCCTATAAATAAGTAAAAGGAAAATACCACAACTGATGAAATTCAATAAAATAGCTTAGAATTGAAATGCAGTTGGAACTTAGATTAATGTTTGAACTCGTATTTGCACCTACATAGACTGATTGTTTTTTTCTTGATATGTGTATAAAATATATTTAATCAAGACTGTACATTATGAGTAGTTATTACATTTGTGGAATTTGATAGAGATAGGTTACTTCCAAATTCACTCCTTAATGTTTATTTTCGCAATTCATTATTCTGAAGCAATGTCTCTGATATATTCTGAGAGTATTACAAACTCACAGAATGATGGGACTTCCATAAAGTTTCATAAAGTTTGCCTTTACTGTCTAAAAGAGATCCAAAAACTGTCCCACAAAATTAATTGTGTCCCCATGACGAAGTGGAACTGGAAGCTTTAATTACAGCTAAATGTCTAGCATGACTAGGTGTTTCACCTGACTGAGGAGCAAAATACCATCCAGCAAGGTTTGTAAACTCCTAATGGACAAAGAGTTTAGTTTGATTCTGATGTGAAAGAAATTTCAACTATCAGGAAGGAGGATAGCATGCAGTGCTGAGAAATGAAATTGTCTACTTTCAGCACTGTTAATAAAGAAAAATACATTAATATATTTTAATGAGGTGAGGAAAAGGGTTAAGAAAGAGCACTTGTAGACAGTTCATGGCATAGAAGAAATAACTGTGCACAGGACAATTTTGTGATCTATAAATTCTTACATTTATCATTTTAGCATTTATAACTTGGAATTCTTCTACCTAAGTCTAGATAAAATATTAAAGAAAAAGTGAAACATCTGCCTCCCTTCCAGTACATGCTATACCTGGTTTGAAAATGGGTTGGACTGGCTACAGGGTAAACTGTGTTTAAATTCAAGCGGAGCATTATCAGATTAGAAGCTTTCTACAAAATAAGATACAGTTACACAGTATAAACATCCTGTGATTTTTTTTCAGGTGCTTCCTTTGAGATCTAGGAAAAGGGCCTGTGATATTCAAGCTATCTGATGAGAAAGACCAAATAAATTTGCAATCTATGATGTGGTGGCTGGAAACACTTTCTTTGACTCAAAGAATGAAACATACATTAAGAAGTAAATTGGGATTCATGGCTTTTTATAAATGCAGTAACTTAGATTAAGTCTTTCTGTGGAATTTGCAGCATTCAGTGAAGTATCTCTTGCTTTCTAATGCCATCTATGACTGGTTTGGAAGATGTAATTTAACAGAATAAGCTTTTTCTCACTTACTCAAAGAAATGAAGTCAGGAAGACTGGTTAAAAGAAAGGAAAAAATTTATTTAAAAATAATAAAAAAGAGATACTGTACAATTCATCTTCAAGATGTAATATTTGTAGACACCTAAAAAAATTTTCTGAAGTAGGGCTTCAACTTATTTTTTTAAATTATCTCAAACAAAACCTATTTTTAATCAATAGTGATTTTTTTCTTATCAAAGGAAATAATTTAATAGCTTAGATCTAGATTTTTTTTGCATTATTTTCAGCTGAAATGAACGATTCAAGATAGATTTACAACTTTTTGAAAATACAGCACTGCAAAAACAAAAATCTGAAACTACCTATGTAAAATACTGCTAAATTGCAGGATTTATGCAGTTATTTCAACACTATTTCAAATGAATAATTATATTTACATTAACTTTGATACTGTAAAATCAAGTCTCTGAAAATAGTAAAATTATTTTTGCAGCTAGTATCACTGTTCCAGTCAATCACAAAACCTACTGCATGTGCACAGTACACAATGTGCCATGCAGAGAAATCAAGACTTGACGTATAATAATGATGATAATTCTCTGTTGATTTTTTTCCATGTATCTTTGGATAAAATCCAAGGACACAAAAAATAATTTAGAAAATTAAAATATGATGAGCCTATCATTTCCATAGTTTCTGTGAAAGCATAGATATGAATCGGCAAACATTTCTAAGCTCCTCTTATCAGGGTTAGTGACAGGCATGATGACTCCTATCTGCATTTTTACTAGTTGTTCAAATACGCACTGACACTCCCTTATTAGTCTGTTTTCCAATTCTGACTCTTTATTTTAACTTAAAAAGTTGAAGTTATCATACTTCATCAGTCCATGGGTGCTTCTGATTGGAGCTCCAAGACTTGATTCTCTGTAGCTGGTGAAAACCCT